GAGTGGGCTGGGGGTGGTGAAGCACTGGGAATGCAGGGTTTGGGCATGGGGGGTTGGGGGGCACTTAATTTTTTCCTGACACACACCACTTTCTCGCTGTTCCAAGGGGGAAGCCACCTCCGGCCCCACTTCTACTTCCGGGTCTGGGGCCCTGATGCTCTGCAACCCACAGTAGCATGTACGCTTCCCTTGCAAATTAGATCCGGCACGGATCCTGGGGGCTTTCTGTTCCCCCTTCCCTGTAGGAAGCTGGCACTATAACCTAGTTGAGCGGGGGGCTGAGGCTGGAGCTTCAGGTAGGTGGCAGCAGGCAGCAGTTCCCCACTGGGTCACAGAGCATCAGGGCTCCAGATCCTGAGATATAAGTGAGGCCAGAGGTGGCTGCCACGGCTGCCCCCTAGGCCTCTGCAGGGGAGCCAGGGCCAGGAGGGAACCCAGAATACCCCCCTAAGAGAGGCTGGGGGGGACCCCAGCCCTGGCCACCCCCTCTCCAGCTCTGACAGAGTGATGTGATGGTCACATTCTCGTCCCACAAGAAAAAAAATGATATATAGAGATGCATTAGTAGTATTACTAGCCTGTTTCTGGTTGCCATCAACTCTTACAGACAGAAATTGACCTAATTTCAGCATAGTCTTAAAGACAAAATTCAAGGTCTTCTGTGCCATTAGAATAGTTTAAATGGGGAAATGTCTTTCAACAGAGTGATGTGATGGTCACATTCTCGTCCCACAAGAAAAAAAATGATATATAGAGATGCATTAGTAGTATTACTAGCCTGTTTCTGGTTGCCATCAACTCTTACAGACAGAAATTGACCTAATTTCAGCATAGTCTTAAAGACAAAATTCAAGGTCTTCTGTGCCATTAGAATAGTTTAAATGGGGAAATGTCTTTCACTTTCAAACATGTCTTGCCAAAACTTGGAAAAGTGTGTTACTGGTGCTCAGCATTTTAGAAATATATTTTAATTTATCTGAGACAGTTGTGTCATTCTAGGCCATAATAACAAGCAGATTAGGATTCACTTAGCTTTTCTGCTCAGTTCTAAATGCAAAGTCTAAAGAATCATTGGCTACATTATTGTCATATGGATTTCTCAGATTAAGATTATTAAATTAATTCACTTTCCAGGGGACAATTTGTGATGAGAGATTCCAAAAGCTAGTACCAACAGAAATAAAAAACTCTTAAAAAATTATATCAGTGAGTTGAAGGAAATGCACACACAACTTTTCTGACAAAATTTCAACAATTATTTGCAAAGTAGTACCTACCACAATGATTTTAACTGGAACTTAAAAATAACATATGTAAGTAATAAATTAATATTGTTACTGAAAGATACTTTTCATGACAACCATATTTATTATTGTAAAAGAATTGGGTCAGCAACCTTTCCTATTCATTTTGTTTGTTAATTTATCCTTTGCCTTCTTTAAACAAGTAAATTTATAAAGACTCTAAAGATGTTTCCCTCTTTGTGCTTGAAAATTATGCACCTCTGATTCCTTAGTACGGGGCCTCTCCTATCCAAAGACTGCCAATTGTGATGAATATGACTAATTTGTTTAATAGTTTTGTAATTGAATAAGTATCTACAAGGGACTAGATTGAAACTATTAAATTCATGTCATTTGGGACATAGGCCAGGTTTGCTAATCAGCCTTTCGGGGGTGAAAGGCTAGTGCATTAATCACAGCACTATTTAGTCCCCTCGAATGGTATTAATTACGTATATATTTAATAAAGTTAAATTGTAATATTTTAACTAGTTTTATGGATGCCTGATGCATGGTATTCATGTTCTTCTTTAAAAATGGAAATTGAAGAAAGAAACTGTAACATGTCCAGGTAAATAAGAAAAATGTGTTTTCTCTTAAAAAAAGAGTGCTTACTATTCAATATATTCATTTTATGTTAAAACATATCAAGATTGTTTAAAATTTTCATTTTATACATGAATCAAATTGGCCCATTTGTAATCATTTTTGACAACGGAAAGCTAATTGCTCTAAATGCAGTAATGATTTGGCAAAACCTCTTATCACCATCCATTTAATTGTCACATAAGCATACTCTGCTCATTAAGGCCGTATCTATACTACAGAGAAGATCGAAGCTGCCACAGTCGATCTTCCTGGTTCTAATTAACAGGTCTAGTGAAGATGCACTAATTCAAACTGAGAGGGATGCTCCCGTTAAGGCCAGTAGTCCAGCTCCAATGAGTACTAAGGAAAGTCAAAGGGAGGAAGAGCTCCCATTGACTTCCCACCGTGTGTACAATGCCATAATTCAATTTAAGGTACTTTGACGCTGGCTATGCAATTATTGTAGCTGGAGTTGCATATCTTAATTTGAACTTATCCCATGGTGTAGACCTAGCCTTATTGTTATTTCTGCATGTTGTTTACTCATTAAGTGTTATCAAAGTTGAATGAATAGCTTTCAAAATCACCAGTTTCATATACTTCAGAATTTTTTAAAACATTTTAATTCAAATTACTATCACATAAAGTAGGCTACAAATCGTCTCCATTTGGTTGCTGCATTTCTTAACTACTTCTGAATTGGAAATCTAAGAGTCAGTGACAGATTCCTGCTTCTGTGGATAGCTCAACAACTTGAGGGTGAACTAACTGCTGCATATTTTTTAGAAAGGCATCCAGTCTTGATATATAGATTTCACAGAGGGAGAATCTTCCACATCTCTTGGTAATTTGTTCTGCTGGTTAATTATCTACTGTTAAAAATACGTTTTCTGCTTTGTAAATCCAATCTCAATTTCCAGCTCTTGGATTTTGTTATGCTCCTGTCTGCTGGGTAGACACATGCTTTCCTATCAGATGATTACAAGCTAAACACTACGATAAAGAGAAATTAAGTAATCTCTTAACCCTTTTATTTTGGATAAGTTAAATAGATTGATCTCCTAAGTCCTATTTTAAGGTATGTTTTCTATTCATAAATAATTCCAGCGCTCATCTACAAGGTCTCTCCAATTTTTCAGATTGCTAATGCAGTGTTCTCAGTCTCCAAGGTTTGGGATCGCTCAGGTCCCAAGGATGCTAGATTAGGGAGGTCCAACCTGTACAATTGCAGACTATTGAAAAGATTATTGAAAATATGGTCCCTGGGATATATTCTAAGAGTTAATCATTGTATATCAAAACCTAAAAGTTCTAGACCCTAAAAAAACCCTCTCCCATCTCCAACCCTCCATCTGTCTGTCAGAAACAGTGAACCTTGCTCTTCAAAGGCTAAGGCTCACTGGAGGCAGGACATTTCTCAATAGCAGATCTATGTTCCTAGAATTGCTCTTTGCAGCATTACCACTTAAGTATGATTTGGCTGTGATGATAAAGATTTGAAGGATCTTTTTGTCCAAGTTTTTTCAACGGGCACAAAGGGCTTTTTTAAAGGGCTTTTATTTTTCTCAGCAGATCTAGCTCTGCCCTCTCTCTTTAGCTGCAGGGAGTGGTTTTGAGTCCTGTATTTAGAATGTTAAATGTGAATTTTAAGCCATGTAAAATGCTCACAGACACTGCAGTGGTGGTGGCTTTAAAAAGTAGCAATATTTTTCTGAGTCTGTATAATGACACAATATCTATTCGCTTTTTCAACAGGTTAAAGGAATATCAGTGTTTCTGTGCAAAAATGATAATTGTCTGCAAAACATCTTAAGACAGTGCTACAATTTTATTTGCATAAATGTGAGTATTTTGGACAAATATGCTAATTATGTACTTCACATTTAATATATCTATTGATTTTTAAAATAAACAGCTCACAATAAGTTTTTGTATTTCAAGAGTTATAGACTGTTGAAAACTTGTAGTTGAATAGGAGCCCTTCCAAACCCCATTCTTGCCTTCAGTCCGGTCACAAGTACCTTGTAAACCATCCAGTGAGTTGTTGCATAGGAGGAATAAAGAATTCTTATAAATCGCCAGTTGAAACAAATAAACTGCAAGGGATCATAGTGCTGATAGTGTATTTATTTAATTCTTGTTGAACAATCTCAAAAACAGAATACTCAGACTATAGTTATAACTGGAATACAATTTGACCCATGATTCTGAAGAGATTTTAGTCTACTGAGATTGACATATGTGGCAATGTGACTGGTTCAGAATGTTGTGGCCATCAACTCGACATTCATCACATAGTCTGTACTGGTACCTACTGGCTCTGACAAATCCATTCCACTAAACTTCGGGCCTAGCATCCCATACCGGGGCAGGAAGGGTTTAAGTTGAGTCATATCTAGAAACCAGTGTTATCGCTTACCCCGATCTACACTAAGGGATACTCCCTTCAAATTAAGGTATGCAATTCCAGCTACGTTTATTGCACAGCTTAAGTCGAAGTATCTTAACTTAAATTTTAGCACCATCCACACTGCAGGAAGTCAAAGGGAACACATTCTCCCTTCGACTTCCCTTACTTCTTGTAGAAGCAGGACTATCAGCATCTGCGAGAGTGCCCTCTCAGTTCAAGTGAGCGTGTCTTTACTATACCCGCTAATTTGAACTCTGGCAGATCGACTGCAGCTGCTTTGATCTTCTGTGTAGTGTAGACATGTCCCTATATACCTTAGAAATTGTCTTAGTAGTATTTATAACAGCATGCTATATGAACCTGTAATTTCACCAATTCAAAGCATTATAAATAGAAGAGGTATTTCCTTTCTGGCAACTAAAAGAAGTTTTCACTGCACTTTGTGAATTAAGCTTTGTTTTATTTTCTTTTGGTAACTTTAAAATTTGTTTTTACTTAGGCTAAAAAATCTTACTTTCAAGAAATTCAGGAACTAGTGGATATAATTGAAAATGCAAGTATTTCTGTCTTACATCCAGTTGTTCTCATTTCGGTACGTTAACTTATTCAGTTTTAATGTAATAAACCTCTAATCAAATACAAATAGTTTTTTCTTAGAATCTGTATAATGTATAAAATATTTCATGTGATGTACCCTTGCATTTTAAGTATTTTTAAATGGTAAACTGTATATGAGATCACAAAACATCATTAAACTTCAGTAATATGTACTTTATGCGACTAGGAGCCAAGGTGAGGCAAATAAAAGGCACAGTATTAGTTGAAAATTTACTTTATTTTCTTTAAGGTTTCATGATGCCCAGTCCTAGGTAACTTTTAGCTCTCAATCCTTTATTATGTCCCATTCGTTCTGGGAGTGCTACAGATTGCATAGAGCTCTGCAAGGCCATGTCTACACTAGGAAACTATTTCAAAATTACTAAATTTGACATAAGAACTCCCGATTTAACAAATTCAAGCTAGTGTGGTCCTTACTACAGGGAAGCCTTGAAATTAGTCTAAGGCAGGCTCTGTTAATGTGGATGCGCTACCTCGGATTTAGAGCACCAGGAAGCACTGGGGAGTAATTAGGTTGAATTATTCTGGGGAGTAATTATTTCAAATAGCAGCACCAGAGCTTCCACACTGCCATTATTTCAAAATAACTATTTCAGAATTGTTACTGCTGATGAAAAGTAGGAGTACAGATTTCTAATTCCACGGCCCATTATTTTGAAATAATGGGCTTGGTAGTGTGGATGCTCCACTTATAAATTCAGCCTTCGGGGTGAGGGTTATTTCAAAATAAAGTTCTAGTGTAGACCAGGGCTAAGAGTACAGAGCTAGACAGTCAGTTATCATATATTTAGCATTTATAATTATGCTGTGTAATGTTTATCAAAATGTTAAAATTATGATCATTTTAATATTACAAGGAAATTTAATTTAAAAATGTCATATATTTCCCTGGGTCTCTTAAGACCAAATAAAGCATTTCTCAAACTGGGGTCTGCAGATCCCTAGGTGTATGTGAGGATACTCCAGCGGCTCTGCTGGCGCTGTTGATCAACTCCTTCATTTCCCTCCCTTAACTCTTCCTCCTCCTTTCCAGTGCCTCCTACACACCAGAGAACTACCAATCAGTACTGTGCAGGAGGTACATGGAGGGAGGGGAAGGAGTGGGGATTGGTGCACTTGGAGGAGGGCGGCAGAAAGAGAAAGGACAGGGATTGAGTGGGGATGGGAAGAGGTGAGGCAGGGATGGGACAGTGGGGGAAGGGATGGAGTGGAGGTAGAATCTGGGACTGGGTGGGAGGAAGCTTGGGTGTTCACAAACATTTTAAATGAAAATGGGGGTCCTCGGGTTGCTAAAGTTTGAGAACCACTGATGTACTAGATCACGGGTGGGCAATAGTCTGCCTGTGGTTTGCCACAATTAGTCCCCGGTGGGTCACCAGCACTTTATCTACCTGCACATCCACAGGTCTGTCCACTTGCAGCTCCAGTTGGCCACAGATTGCCATTCCTGATCAGAGGGAGCTGCAAGAAGCATCCCAGTCCACGCTGCTTCCCATAGCTCAGCTGGGAATGGCTATCTGCAGTCAGTGGGAGCTGCAAGCAGCTTTACCTGCAGATGTACAGGTAAATTAAGTGCCAGCTGCCTGCCAGGGACTAATCTTGAACCGTGTCCAGCTCACAGTCCATTTATTGCTCACCCCTGTACTAGATTCAGCTCTAGGTAAACTTCAATTAAGTGTCAATCTTTCTAAGTGTATATGTTATCCATCTTTATGTGGCCTACATTCTAGTTACATGGGTCAGTTCCTACTGCTGCTGAGGATATCTTTAGAATTTGGGCTGACTGCTGCTTCTTCACCTAGACGGCCAGAGGGATTTATAGCCACTCAAAATGTGATACTAGAATTTTCTGTGCCACTGAGGAGCTCTGTAAGCCTCTGATGAAGAGCTGTGCATAATTGTCTGTACTAGTTTTCTGCCTTGTTGAGAGAGAGAGTATGGGAAAAAGTTGAATTATCAGTACTATCTAGTCCCAAGGATTATGCTGCTGTATTGTACTTAAATAGTTTGATAGCAATTATGCACCACAGCTGACTGTTACTTTAAATACCATTCGTTGAATAAGGTAGTTGCCAACATGTAGGGTGATGCAGAGGTGCTGACTTTTGTTTTTGCTTGTGGGTGCCTTTGAAGTGTTGTCTGTGTTTTTGGTGTGAGAGAGGGGTCATTTTGTCAGGTTTGGGGAGAGACTGTTATCAACGTACTTATCCCTTGTTTTATATTTTATCAATGACTGTGTGTATCATTGATATCTTTACTATTATAATTGTGATTAAATAGTGACAAACTGCATAATTACACTATAATGAATTACAGCATGCTACAATCAGTGTAATCACCTACAAACTGTCTTCACCAGCACTCAGTTTAAAGACATTATGTCTCTCTGTAAGTTTCTGGATGAAGCAGTCAGATGTCCTATTTACATCTAGTTCCCTGATATTGTTTTTATGCACAATAAGGTCAGCTACATTATTCAGTTACATCTGTCCCATTGGTGACTGGAGATAATTTTTAAGTCATTTGATGGTGGAGAATGAGTTATGGATGATATAAACACAGTGAAATGGATTATTATAAATTTTCAGTACTCTGAAAATATAGTGCTTCCCGAGTACTGCAGATAACTCCAAGATTACTCTCTTCAGGGTTTATTGCTAATTTAGACATTGTATGAGGATTATATTTTTCCATGTGCATTAATTTGAATTTCACATTGAGTTTCGTCTGCTGTTTTGTGCCAAGTCACTCAGTTTTGTAAGAGCCCTTTGTAACCTTTCTCAGTCTGTTTAGGACTTAACTACCTTGAGTAATTTTATATCATTTCACTGTTTATCCCTTTGTGCAGATTATTTATTAATATGTTGTACTGAGACCAGTGCTGTTCTAGCCCCTCAAAGACACCTCTAGTTACTTCTCTCCATTCCAAAAGCAGACCATTTTTACTACCTGTTGGCTTTCTATCTTAACTGAAGTACCTGGGAATGCTTTCAGGAGCATCTCAGGCTCCTTACTTTAATTATGAGCCTTTTGCTATCTTAATCACCCTACCTCTGTTTATAAACAAACTCCCTGCTTTAAGGGCAGAAGTTGTTAGCCGCAGAGAACTCATTCATTGTACACTCAAGATCTGGCTCCCGGATGGTGAGTACCACAATTTTATCTCATGGCATCAGTGCCTGTGGGTTGATTTTACATATGACACCATAGGCAGTGGTATCTTAACTCCTCTGAAAGGATTGTATCATCTAAGGGCAAGGCTAGGTGTCAGGAACTCCTGAGTTCTAGTCTCAGTTCTGATAGTCACTTCCTCTGTACCTGGGACAGTCACTTATCCTGTCTCATCTGTAGAATCTACGATATATTTGAGAGTGTGTCTGTCTGTCTCTTTGTTCAAGTACCCATCCTAAACAGTAAGAGCTAGGAACATCAAATTTGGAAAACAGCTTCTCCTTATCATAATTTAACAGAAGATAAGGGTTTGGTTGTGCCAGGAAAATGGGATATGCTTGGAGTGGGATTGCTTCTCCTAAAATGGAAAGGGAAGGCTGTGCTATATAATGACTACATGGGGGCAGCAGGGGATATGGGATAGAAAGCAGGGATAGTTATACAGTGTAATTACCACAGGGGGCAGCAAGGGGCCAGAGATGTGGACTGGGACAACTATAGCTTCATTAGGGCGGCAGGGGGCAGAGGTGAAGAGAGGGACAGTTATCTACTATATATTTGGGGGAGGGGGAGCTGGGTAGTCCTCTCTCCCTGGGGTAGCCTGCATACTTAACCCCTCATTCCCCAGTGACACCCCAGGGCAATGATTTAAATGAAGCATGTACATTTTCATTTTATTTTCCAAAAAACAAAAATTAATTGAGTTAAGGATCTGAGCAATGCTGGGTAAATCTTTTAGTACGAACATAATTCCTATTTACCAACTAATAGAGGTGTTGTAAAGATTAATTAGTTTATGTTTATAAGACACTTTCCAGATGAATAGCACATCAAAAGGACTATATCTTATTTGACCCAAGTGTTCAATGCACACTGAGGGTTGGTGTGAATGCTGATCCTTGGCACCTGAGAATTTAGTCTTTACTTGCAGTTCTCTGTTACATTGCTTATGTACATTTAAGAAGAAATTCTGTAGGGAACTTCATGTGTACTAGCCTATAAAGTTTTAGCTAGGTTTCTTGTGCACCCAATATGTAGGGTCCTCTCTATATATAGGGACTCTTCTTTCTTGCCAACTATTGGTAACACAATACTTCTCCTCGGTGGCAGAGTATTGTTTACATTATCCCTTGAATAACTGTTTTAATCACAGTCTCAACATATAAAACCCTAGAAGGAGCATGATGAGATAACACTATAACTTTTGCAGTAGATGGTATTGCTATTGTCTGTTATAAGGATGGGTATTACATTCTTTCTTGTCTGGGGTATACAATGAAATGGATAAGGACTGATAATAGCAATAATAAAACATACTAAACTTATGTCAATGTCTCAAGAAAAATATGAGAACATAAATCCCTTGCAAGATTACTTAAAGAACTTCTGTCAGGTTTCTGCCCTCAAACTGCGTAGATCCTGACTTCTGCACCATCTTTGCAGAAGCCCTTTTTCTCTACCTTGCCTCTCAATAAAAAAATTGTTAAACTCTTAATATGTAGGAAGAATAAGATACATTTAGTATGTTCTTTTTAGCAATATATATGTTTTTAAAACTATGGGATCTGATTCATCTGTCAAATTATTCTCCCAGTACTTTCTAAATATCGCTGGCATAGATAGCCTTGGGAATAGCCTTAATAACAGATGCCTGTGTATGAAACATATTTCTCATGCACATGAAGTCTCTCTTAAAGTAGAGCAATAGCCAAAGAATAAATAGACTTTGTGCTATGCTAAAAAAAAAGGTTTATATAGAATTCTTTGTCTGGAATTCTTATTGCTACCTATTCATATTCTGGATATATGGCGCTTCCAGATTATTTTTAGAAATACCACAAATAGAAAATGGAAAGCAGTCTGAAAAATGTTTTAAATTAATAAAGAGTTAGCTAAACAAATCATTATCTCATATTAATCACTGGGAACAATTTAAGTACTTTAAACTTCCGATCCCTAAAATTCAGTACAGATGATATAGCTGGGGGATAGAAATTTCTTTCATCAGTTTTTAATTACTCAGTGTTGGGTGTACACTTAAATAATGGCAACTATAATGGATTTTTTCTCAGTTTGATATTTTTATTTTAAAAAATAAATAAATTTAACCGACAAAGCCTGAATGGATTGTTAGACAAATATTCTGTATAATCTTGTGCTTTTGATGTAAATGTGGATACTTATATTTCTCAGATACTTTAAGTTTTGACTTTTTTTAATTTGAGTATATTGACACATTTGGTCATTGCGGTTTTTTAGATACTGGTTGACTAGTAAACCACGTAGATTTCATTTCTGTTATATTTTATGGGACTTCTACAAAGAAGAGAATGTGTAGTAAACTGACAGTAACCCTATTTTAGCCTCTAGCACTGATCTTCCTTTCTGATAAAATGCCATTTAGCTAACAATGTGGCAGCTTTCTGCTTCATTATTTCATATTCTAAGTGTAATAGAAAGAGCATTACTAATACATGTGCATTAGTGATAATTTGTTTATACTACGCGATTAAAAATAAATTTTTCCATTGCAGTTGTGAACTAGGTACTAGTGTGAACTTTGCACTAGGTAGCATTGCCTGGTGGATAGAGCACAAACTGCAACTCAGGAGGCCTTAGTTCTATTCCTAGCTCTGCCATTGCCTGTTGGGAAACCTTGAGCAGGTTGTTTAATCTCCCTATACCTCAGTTTCCACACCTGTAAAATGAAGATAATGATACTGACTTTCTTTGCAGAGTGCTTGGGGATCTACTGATTAAATATGCTTTATAAGAGCTAAGTACAGTCAGTAGTGGTATTTTCTATTCCTAATGTTTTGGTTAAATATGTAATAGATTATATTCCTATTTATGTTGTTATATATTTTACATCCTGCATATACAGGCTGTGCAAAGTCAGGAAGCTAAAATTCCACCCCCAATATTATCTCTCGAATTCCATGATTTTATTATGTACTGTGCACATGCAGACTTAGTGCCAGGTTAGCACATTTCTTTCATTTAATACACATAATCATAATCTCCAACAATTATGCCCTTTCCCTGTTGGAAGATAGAGAATATTGCACCCTATTTCAAAATAATATTCTTAATTTTTCCTATTAGTGTAAGATGCCTTCTAATTGTGAATTTCTGCTTATTAAAAATGGCTAATTATTAATTACTTTAGCTTTTCTTAAACATGTCATATTGATGGACATGCATAGAGATACCCATAATACATTTTTGAAGCATTGATGAAGGTTCCTTATGGTTTGAAGTAGAACAGAAGAAAGGCACAAGTGTTGTCGAGGCATAGCTCACTAGCTCTTGCCTCCATCAGGAAGACGAGGCAGGACTAGTAATTACGAAACTCAATCTCAAATAAGGTATTTTAAAAACACAAAATCCTATTGAGATTTTAGGGACTTTAAATTTTCTGCAAAGTAGGTTTTTTATTTTGTGGTTTATGAGACTCGTTTTAACTATCCACTAACATAGCTGAGGCATCATATGAAAAATGTTGTATGAACAAATATCCACTTTAAATCTTGCTTTTTTGAGCTTAATAGAAATTTTGTGAAGAGATAAAGATAAAATTGTTTGAATAGTTAAAGTATTGAAAAGCATGAATCAAAGTTTAATAAATAATGACTTCTCTTTACAGTACTAAAGTGCAGCATTGTAAAGAATACAAATTATAAAATGCAGTGTCCCAGACAGAGAACAGACACAACAGATATTCTTAAGAATGTAATTCCATGTTGAAAAACTAAAACAAATTACTGGAAAACATGTGTACTCTTCTCTGATTTTTTTCAGATGATTTTATCTGTGAATCTATTAGAACGCTGCTAATGCACGGATATCCGCTTTATATCTATGGGTATCTGCATCCACAGATGGATATCTGCAGCTCATTTTTGTGGATGCGAGTACAGATGTATATGTTGTATTTAGAACCCAGCAAGTCCACTTTATATCCATGAGTATTCACATCAGCGGTTGTGATGTGGATAACTGCAGCTCATTTTTGCAGATACAGATGCAAATACCGATTCAAAATTTTGTATTTGCGCAGAGCTCAAAATATGGTTCCAAAATGACAGGGTTTTTTTTAGATTAATAAACTCTTAAGTGTATTGAGGACATTATATTCTGATCACTTCTGGCAGATTTTGAAAAGAAACAGTTTTCCTTTTATTAAGTATTTAAGTCATGGAGCGTGACATGAATATAAGTTTATAAAATTTTCCTGCCATCTCATATTATTTTTATCATATTTATTTAACAGTTTTTAAAAAATAATGCTGGAGATCTAGCAGAATTTATTTTGCAATAGAATGTAGTAATGGTTTGCTTTTTGCACCCTTTTGCAGGTCTATTTGACTGCTTCAGAAAATATGTCTTTCAGCAATGGAATAGAAGAACTGGCTGGGATAAAGGAATTTGCAAGGGAAGTAGAAAAGAAAAATGTTTTGGTTTATGGTCTTCTCATCCATTACATAAAGGTATGTAATTCTCTTTATACCTGCGAATTATCTACTTTTGTAAACTATATGATTAATGATAAGAATCTTTATTTAAAAAAATCAAAGGAAAAAACGACAAGGTAGTTTTCTCGAAAATTTTCTTGCCTGTTCATGTTCAGTAGAGCCTCTGGTTACTGGCAAAAATGTAAGTGATTTGATTAGAGAAAAAAAGCTCAAATAGTAAAAAAAAAAAAAAAAAAAAATGTGAACATGCTTGAGCCGTTCTTTTCCTGTTGCTCATCTTTAAAGCTTGGTATCTGCAGCTTATTAAAATTGAAAATATGAGAAATATTTGTAATCAAAATTGATTTTTCAACTGTTTTCTGTTCCCCCATCAAAACAGTGTTTGGTATTTAGGTAACAAAAAAGGCATACCTATATCTGGGGAAGCAAACAGTATCCATGAATCCAGTTGCTGTAGATTACCAAAGTTGGGGGCCAAATGAGCTGACATTTCAGCATCATTGTAAAAGCTATTTAAAATTAACCTTTTTGTTTAGGGATACTTTGTCACTGGTGCATATATAGATTTCACTGATTGTTAGTGGCATAGAGCCACCAGTTAAGTTAGGCAAATATTAAAATATTCAACTGATGTTTAAATAAGTGAAATAAAATCTGTTTCTTACTGAATTTTTGGAATGTGGTAGTTATTTAGTGTTACATGTGGCTGATTACGCACAACTATACTTCATAAAATTTTATCCAAAAGTGCCAAGGCCTCAAAAATTCCACTGATTTTAATGAGGCTACGCCTAGACTACAGGCTTCTTCTGGAAGAAACTTTTTTTGGAAGAGTCTTCCAAAAAAACTTCTTCAGAAAGAGAGCATCCACACTGCAAAAGTGCATTGAAAAAGCGATCTGCTTTTTCAAAAGAGAGAATCCAGACTGAATGGACGCACTCTCGCATGTAAGCTGTGATTGCTGTGGACGGAATGGCTACCAGGGCACCTGTGCTTTTTCCTCTTTCCTCTACTTTCGAAAGAACTCTCTCTTTCCTGTACACAAACGCCTTTTTGTGAAAGAACTCTTTTGCAAAAAGGCTTCTTCCTCATAGAATGAGGATTACCAATTCAGGAAAAGAACAGAGGGGCTTTTGATTTTCTTGTGGAAGAACGCAAATGCAGTGTGGACATTCCTCAAATTTTTAGGAAAAATGGCTGTTTTTCCGACAAAACTCTGTGGTGTAGACATACCCTGAGAGTCAGAGTTGTGAATAGTTAGTATCTTTGAAAATCAGGTTGCTTATTTTTAAAGACTTATTAATGTTATTATAAGAATACTGTTATAAATATCTGTAATTCTCCTTCTGTTCACTTACATTCCTCTCAACAGTGGTTTATAATATATTTTAGAATGTATTCTTTCTACAATGAAGCTTAAAATTCAAAGTCTGAGATGAAGGTAAAAAGTTATTTTGAAATCAAATTTGGGCTAAAAATCCAAAATGACCTTTATTAACTTACACAACCACAAATAAAATAATTTAGTGGTTTTAAACACCTTTTGCGCATATGTTTTAAAATGACATAGGTTTTCAAAATGTAATATGACCGGGATACCTTTACACATGTGGGCACATACAAATTAAATCATATATATTATTTCACTTAGAACAGTAGTTCTCAAACTTTAGCACCTCGAGGACCCGCATTTTCATTTAACATGTTTCATAGATTCCCAAGCTCCTCCTTTTCCAGATTCCATTCTCACTCCACCCCTTTCCTCACATCCCCACCCTCACCCCACCTCTTTCTACCCCTGCTCCACCTTTGCCGCTCCTTTTCCCCTCTACTGCGAGGGTGCCATTTTCCAAGGGGGGGCAGCTGCTGTGTGTTCTGAGACACAGCTTGCTTTTCATCCTGGTCCCCCTACTACTAGGGAGGGAGGGGAAAGTTCATGCATTCCGTGCATGCCTCTCTCACTTGGCTGGTGAAGGGAGCTCATCAGCCAGGTGCGAGAGGCATGCATGGAATGCAAGTACTTTCCCCTCATCCTCTTAGCTTCTGGGGAATGGGATGAAAAGCAAGCCACATCCTGGAGTGCACGGCTTCTGTACCCCACATCCTCCATAAATGGTGCCCTTGCTCCGCTGTCCACCCCCTCCTCCAAGTGTGCCCCATCCCCACTTTCCCCTAGCCTCCCTTTTCCTTCTGCACACTGTTGAACAATTGTTCTTCCATGTGCAGAAGACACTGGGAGGGAGGGGATGGAGTTGAGGGAAGAAGAGAGAGGAATTGATCAGCAGGGTTTAGACCCCCCTGGAGTAGCCTCATGAATGCCCAGCAGTCCATAGTTTGAGAAATGCTGGCTTAGAAAGTGATGACTGTGTAACTTTTTTAACTGAAAAGTTGAAGGTGTTTAGCAGATTCTCAAAGATTAAATCTTGACTTTTAATATGTGTGTGCACTGACTTATCTCCTATAAAACAGTTGTACTACTTGCACAACTTGAATGCATGGTTTAAGCTTTGAGTGAGTTCTTCCCCTTTTCCTTCTCTCCGCCCCCCTCCCCCCAAAAAATTATAAACTTCTTTAGCATTCATTTTGCACATGAAAGCTTTATAGACAAGATAGGTCTGTTAGGCTATGTCTACAGTAATGTTATTAAATAACAAAAAGCAGGTCTACCAGCAAGCCATTATTTTGAAATAAAGGTCTTCTTACTCTGACTCTTGTAACCCTTATTTAACAAGGAGTAAGGGAAGTCAAAGGAAGAGTGTTCTTCCTTTGACTTCCTGCTGTGTAGACAGTGCCAAAAGCTGAATTAAGCTATTTTGACTTCAGCTATGCAGTTGACGTAGCTGAAGTTGTATAGCTTAATTCGATTTTTGCCCTGCTGTGTAGATGTGCCATAAGAGCTTTTTTGACTACTGATTCAGTAATTCACAGAATTAAAAGAATTTACATAGACTTACTAAAACTGATCCAGAAAAGTCTCAAATCATGAATCCTCATATTAAGAAAACCATAAATCTATATTAATATAATAAAACATAATATCTTTGTTGATCTGTTACTGCTTTTAACATAAGAAAATTTTAAAATAACTTAATTTACACGAGTGATCAAAATGGGTCTTGAAGAGCCAAAACAGTGCAGCAGATCTTCATTTTAAGAAGTTTATAAATTGCAGTATAATGTCCTAGTTTTTATACCTTTTATACTCTTCCTGACTGATTTTAAAGAAATACAACTAATTAAGGGGCAAGAAATATGTATGATGATAAGTCTGGTGAGAATTTTTGTCCACATGTAGTAGGAACCTGTACCCAAGGAATTGCTCCTATAGCAGGCCTATAGTTACCCGGGTCGCTTTTTTCCCCTTTCTTAAAAATCGGAACTATATTAGCAATTCTCCAGTCAAATGGTACAACCCCTGAGTTTAGAGATTTATTAAAAAATTTTGCTAATGGACTTTCAAGTTCATGTGCCAGTTCCTTTAATATTCGTGGATGAAGATTATCTGGGCCCCCCGATTTACTCCCATTAAGCTGTTCAAGTTTGGCTTTTACCTCGGGTATGGTAATATCTACCTTCACATCCTTAGACCCATTTGTTATGTTACCATTATCCCTAAGCTCTTCATTAGCCTCATTAAAGACTGAAGGAAAGTATTTGTTAAAATACTGGGCCACTCAATAAGGTAGCTTTCTTTACTAATCCCTCCCATTTTCCACTCCTTATATGCTTTCTGCTTTTTCTTAATCACCTCTCTGAGATGCTTGCTCATCCAGCTTGGTCTAACATACCTGCCTATAAAATTTTTCCCTTTTCTTGGGATACAGGCTTCTGACAGCTTCTGCAACTTTAACTTAAAATAATTCCAGGCCTCCTCCACTTTAAGATCCATAATTTCTTTAGTCCAATCAACTTCCCTAACGAATTTCCTTAATTTACTAAAGTTAGCCCTTTTGAAATAATAAACCCTAGTCTCAGATTTATTTTTGTTTATCCTTCCATTTAATTTGAACTGAATTAGCTCATGATCACTCGAGCCAAGGTTGTCTTCTACAACCATTTCATCTATGAGGTCTTCGCTACTCACCAAAACCAAATCTAAAATAGCATCTCCCCTTGTTGGTTCAGCAACTACTTGATGAAGGAATTCATCAGCTATCACATCTAGGAAAATCTGAGCCCTATTATTATTACTAGCACTTGTTCTCCAGTCTATATCTGGAAAGTTGAAATCTCCCATGATTACGCAGTTTCCATGAGTATTTACTTCATTAAAAACATTAAAGAGGTCTCTATCCATATCCAAATTGGATCCTGGTGGTCTGTAACACACCCCAAGCACTATCCCAGGGGAGGATCTGATAGTTTTCTTCCCCAATGTGATTTTTGCCCAAATGGACTCTGTCTTCTCCATTCCATCACTTTTTATTTCTTTATAATCTACCTCATCTTTGATATACAATGCGACTCCACCACCTTTACCCTTATTTCTGTCTTTCCTAAACAGCACATACCCTTCAATACCTGTACTCCAGTCATGCCTAGTATTCCACCATGTTTCTGTTATTCCTATAATATCTGGTTTCACTTCCTGGACCAATAGCTCTAGTTCCTCCTTTTTGTTACCTAGGCTCCTCGCATTGGTGTACAAACATCTTAATTTTTGCTGTTTGGCCTCATTCACATTCTTTACCCAATTTGGCACAGACGTTACACCTACAATATGACCTAGTAGACTAGTATCCACCCCACCCTTCCTCATGTTCATTCTCCTACCCCCAGCTATATCCTTTCTTACTTCATTTTCCTCCCTCTCAGTGTTAAAATCTGGCGTAGAGATTACCTGGGCATCTCCCAACCGTCTCCCCCAAATTCCTAGTTTAAAGCTCTCTTAATAAGTTGAGCCAGCCTCCATCCTAGAAGTCTATTTCCCTCCTTACTTAGGTGAAGTCCATCTCTAGAGAACAGTCCTCTCTCTGTCCATAAATGCCTCCCAGTGACCATACATCCCAAAGCCC